CCAAACTTCAGCTTCATGAATCATCCAGAAAAATCATTTTATAATGTTATCAGTACAGAAACATCAAAGCTGCCACAGAAAAGGTTGTTTGGGTACCCCCAAAGCCCAGTGGTTTGAAGCACAACAGGGCACAATCTCATCCAGGCTGGGTCAGGAGATTGGTTTTGGCACTCTCAGCACCTGAGGCACCAACAGGGACCAAGGTGCACCTGGACAAGCAAATGGCCCCAAAAGGACCAGTGAGCCCCATCAAGGAAAAGGCTCCAAATCCTACCCTGAAGGATGCACATTTTGCAGTGTTTTGTGTCCTGGTGTAGAATCAGTGATACTTCATTTGGAAAACCACATTCCAGCTTAGGAGGTGGTAGAACAAGCCAAGATTTCAAGGCATTGCAGAGGATTTCTTTGAAGAATGGATACAAGATCTGTTACTCAGCACTTCAGGAAGTATTTGACCTTGAAAGTGCTGTTGAGAATGACAATATCCAGGACAATTCAAATTCTAGGATGTTTTTGGCTACAGACAATATTAAGGAGGGGGGAAAAAGTAAATTGAAAGACAAGCACAATCTCTTAATAATAATTTTCTTATCTCTTCTCCATAAATTCTTGCTCTCAGGGTTTTAACGTTTTGGTCATCTTTAAAATCACATCAGGCACCAACCTGCTACACAAGTAACAAACCTCAAGGCAGTTATTATTCAACACTGGACTTAAAATTAATGTAGCAATTTTTAGGTACCCCCAAGCAAAACAAAACCACATTTCCTAAAACTTCCAGCTTCAAAAAAAAAATCAACAAATATGCCTGTCTTCTTTAGGAAGAAGCAGAAAGGCAGCAGATAAGTTGAATTCTGAGAAAAAATAAAGAAATCGATGTACAGGTGATGACTTCTTGTAGTGTTTCTCCTTGGCTGCAGCACTTTTCACTTTCCTGCCTTTCACAGAAGCAATGACATCTCCAGCAAGGGCAGCAGCCAGAAAGGATAGGAATGCACACGACCATCCAAAAATACAAGTAATTAAACCATGGAATATCTTGAGCTGGAAGGGACTCACAGGGATCACCAAAGTCCAGCTCCTGGGCCTGCATGAGACACTCCAAAATCCCCCCATGTGCCTGAGAGTGTGGTCCAGACACTTCCTGAGCTCTGTAGGGTTTGGGGCTGTGCCCATTCCCTGGTTCAGTGCTCCACCATTCCTGCAGGAAGAGCCTTTCCCTAACTTAGGGACAGCTGCCCCTGCAGCGTTCAGCAGAGGCTGCTGGGTTTTATCCAAGGCGAGGGAAGAAACAAAGTGCACAATACACAAATAAACAAGAGAGAAGAAGAATGAGAGGGGAGGGCCAGCCCTGTCCTCAGCAGATGCTGCTCAAGAAGGGGTTATTAATACTCTTTTGCCCTGAAAATTGACACAATTTTCATTCCTTCTCTCAGGACATTACATTCTACTTTTAGGGTTCTTTTCATGATCTGTCACAGCAATGAGTTGAACACACTCTCATGGGGGCTGACTGCCATCCTGGAAGGCTGGGGATGGCCAGGGAAGTGAGGGGCACTATGAGTGACACTGGCACAGCATTAAAAGCCAGAGAGACACCAGACCCCCTGGCCCACCTGTGTTTGCTGCTGCACAGACAGCTGGATTTCCAGGGATTAATAGGGGTGCAATACAGAAAACTTTGCAATACCCCAAAGACCCAAAATTCTTTTTTTAAAAAAATCTATCATAGCCAAAGTTGCTCTGAGAGCAAACCAGCATTTACTAGAAAGAAATCTTCATTACAAGAGTGAGTTGAGAGATAGAAGAGACACCTGAGCTTTGTTCCTCCTTCCACCCAAGAGGAAATTCCTCTACATACAAATCCCCCTCCCAACAGGAATGCTCTGGGGAACAGTATCTTACCTAGCACAGGGGTGCCTGCTTGAGCCGTCCCTAAAGGAGGCACAGCTCCCCAAAAACCCCTCAGATGACAAAATGTGTCCTGTCTGTCACACTAATCATAGAGAAGGCGGCACAAGGACCACAAGGCTCAGCAAATGCCAGTGTGTAGCTGACACGAATGGAAGACAATCTTGTGGAAAAAGCCCTTCCTGGGTTGCCTATTTAAGTGGCTGCTTGGGTTCCAATTTCTCTGAGAGCAGCCTGAGCTCAGAGGCAGCTCTGCCAGAGAGACAGATTGGCTGGAGAGGAGGCAGACACACAACCCAGGTACCAGGAGCAGGAGCCATGGGCTTGCTGCTGGCTCTCAGCTCCCAGGCAGGAACATTGTCCTTGCTGGCTCCTCTGCACGGCGCTACATGCCTTTCACTGTGCCAACACACAGGGACATCTCATTCTGAAATTCAGCAGCATCTGCTGCTTCAGTGGCCAAGTTTCTGCCTCAGCAAAACTTGGACTGGATTTTAGCTCAGAGGCCAGACAGGTGATAACACCATGGAGTCTCCATCCTCCTCCCTATGCTGGCTTTTCACAAGGATGCCCAGGGGCTAACACCTAATTCTGTAGGTGTGGAAAAGCTGTGCAGCTTTCTGTGTGCTCCACAGGCACTAGAGATGATGCACTGCTTGTCTTCAGGGAATAACTGAGTGTGTGTGAGGAGAGCCAAGGTCAGCAGACAGGGAAAAGAGGGAATGTCAGAAATAAACCTTAGGCACCCTAGAGATCCATAAAAAGTGGGAAAGCTTTGTGTGGGAGAATGCACCATGATCTGTTGTTGCATTCACTCTATGCACACTGAGGATGAAGGAAAATCCAAATACAGCAGCTCTTCTCCGCCAAGTTTTAGGGGAAAAAGGGGATAAAACAGGGTCCAGAGACAATCAAGAACTCCAGCAGGCAGAGAAGTAAAAGCAGCAGGAACCTTGTGCTACAATGCCACAAAGAGGTGTGAGTCACTGGGTTGGAGGAGCACACAAAAACAGTCTTGGAAAAAGTTTTATCCAGCTACATAAGTTTACTAGGCTTTGAAGAAATTTGGACCATCCTTAAATCAAGCAGAGGTTATTGAGAGAAAAAGGCCTGTGGGCACCAAGCTACTTAGCTTATTTTAATGCTTTAGCTTAGCAAAGTCAGCAGCCAGGCTGAGGGCAGCAGTCATGGTGTGAACACAAAGCAGAGGCACTGAGAACTGCTTTCCAGGCAGTAGAGCCTTCAAGATGTTAACAAAAATTGTGTCTGCCAAAAATACAAGTGTCATCTAAGGAATTCTTCAATTACTTTCTTTACTCACAGTGCCTATATTCACAGTGAAAAAAAATCACTGGAGTGGGAAGGGCCTGACAGGGGAGGAAGAATGAGGACTGGTAAAATTCCAAAAGTTTTTTGTGTGCCATCCTTGGTTTCTGCAAGAAGTAACACAAACACTCCAAAGCCCCCAGAAACTGTAAAAGTGCTTTGCAGCAAATGATTTTTAGGGGGATGTCATCACTCAGATCACAGCCAAATAATTCCAGACCAATACCTGGGGTCCTGGCAAGGCTGGCCATGCTCAAGCTGTGCAGCAGATATCCCACATTTATATCTGCAGGAGACAAGAGAAGGTGGCCACCATGGCCTCCTCCCTTCTGCTGTCATAAAGCTCCTCTTTCATGGATAATTCAATGAAAGAGTGTTTGGGAAAACTCAGCAAACAGCAGATTGTGGAAGACACAGAACAGGCAGACTGCAGGATGAATGTCAGGGTTATTGCATGCACGGGCCTGAGCTGGGCATACGCTGGATGGAGGGATCTCCCCTTCCCTCAGCAGAATCCTGAGAGCTCATCCCTCCAGACAGCTTCTGCTTGCCCTTTGTGAACTGGGGAGGCTGCACTCCATCCAGAAATGAAAGGCAAAACCAAAAAGGCCTTTCTGGTTTTGGGCAGGCTGTGAGATTGCAGCTCCCCTTGCCCAAGGCCTTCCCTCAGCTCCTCAGAGCGGCCAAAGGCCACAGCACTGCCAGCCCTGCCTCACCCCATGAGTTTCCAAATCTAAACCCTTCTAACCCCTCTCCTTCACATCACAGAAGGCCAACATAATGAACTCAGGTTCACTGCAGTGGGAAGGAGCAGCACCTGATCCAAAAGCTGCACAACCCTGCAGCTGCCATTGAGGTAAGGCCTCAGCTCCAATCCTAAATCCCAGTGCCCGGCAGATGCTGAATCGCACGTGTGGGATTAAATCAAAACAAACTCCAGGCTCCTACATACAAACAGTTTAACAGTCCCCTCTGTGACCACAGACTGAAAACACAGGCAAGGAAATGTAAAAAGCAGGGGTGCCTTCAGTGTGGGCAGCTGGGGCCTCCTGGCACACACAGTCACAGAGCCCTGTGCCTCCACCAGCCCTGCATCCCCCAGCCCTTGAAACACTCCTGGAAACAAAGCTCAGCTCAGACCTGCCAAGCCTCCTTTATTTGGATGGAAACTCACTCATGCTTGGCAGCAGGTCGGTGCAATTTGAAGCTGGCTCAGACCTAAAGTGAAAAGATTAATGGGATATTTGAAATCTCACTCCCATTTTTCCTCAGATCTCACTTATGTAAAAGCTCTGATGTTGGTTGCTGAGCTCCTTAAAACATAATCTGCACAATGTGCCACAGTAAATAAACAGATTTAAACAGCAAGTCTGTTTAAAAGGAGTTTATTTAGAAAGCACACGCATCACTAAAGAGAGCTTATTTCTTATCTAACTCCAAGCACTTTGGAGGCAATCCTTCAGGGGTGTTCTGCAGGCAGGGCCAGATTAATTTTGTTTGCAGCAATTATTTTCAGGATGCTCTCCACTCATATTAAGAGGCTGAAAGTTCAGTTAGTTTCTTGGCTTGAGAATTAGAGAAAATCTGGAGACACTTAAAAAAAACTTTGGGCCAAACTTTCCCAGCAGTGTGTCCTTCCCTCCCCTGCTGGGGCTGACAGGGGATGCAGTGAGAGGATCTGATGGACCAAAGCTTCATCCTTCTCAGCAGTGACCTCACCCACACAAGTTGAGACCTCCAAAGAGTGCTTGAATTCACTGAACTCCCACACACACATTTACTTGTCAGACAAGAACTGGAATTATTCTTCCTGCCAAGAGGCTGGAGAGGACCTCAGCAAGCAGCCACAGGCACGTTCTGAACATCAGCTATCACAGGACCAGCCACAGCACCCATTTTTGAAATTCAGACCTCACCCGAGTGATAAGTTGCACCATTTGCACATAAATCCCCACGTCCAAGTTCAAATAACAGACAGCACATGTTGAACAGCCTACAGCAACACTTCAGGCCAGCAGAGACTCTGAATTCCCTCTGTAAATCAGGGGAAAATCTATATTCTTCCTCAGTCTGGAAGCCCCTGAAGGAGCCCACAGAAGCCTGCTGATGGTCACCATGGTCTCTAAACTCTCAGACAGGCAGGGGGTTGGGTTGGAAGATGATAGCCTCAGCCTGTGAGATTCCTTCCTGCCTTCCTGGTTTTCTCTGCCCTGTACAAAACACCAGACAGCACTGCCCAGCTGATTCAGGCAGCTCCTGAACGTTGCTTTACCTTTTCTGATGCCAAAGCCTGTGACTGCAGATCTGAGCCCACCCTTGGTACCAGGCTGCTTCTGCCTACATGCCTCTAGAGCAGGGAATTACCAGCTACAGCAAACAAAAACTGCTGCGCAAAGTGGTTTAATGTTTCAACAGTGGCAAAAATACCCCAGAGAGTAGGTGCTTCCATTGTTTCAGGGAATGAATTCCATGTGAATGGGCACTGTACTAGTCCTGTGCCGAATACTGAGTTGTGCCACGAGCCCTGCAGACAGAGAGTGTGCTGTGAACACCAGAGCACACCCAGACCCTGCTCCTTGGCCCAAGAGGCTGATGAGTGAGGGCTGGGAGCCCCCACAGCTACTGAGGAGTACAAGTGAAGAGCTGCTCAACCTCTGGCAGATCAGGATGCCCCTTGTGACACCTCCTCACTGGAGAGGACAACATGCGGCCCAGGGTGGCTGCCCTGCTAATTCCAGAGTCAGGGCATGTGAGTGTAAGGTATCACGCAAATAAAAAAAAACAATCACTTCATTCGCTCTGTTTGCATAGTAATATTGAAAAGCCACAGTGCTTTGGCATCTGTCCTCTGCAGCCTTGTTCTTGTCCTTAGCACAAATGTTTCCACTGTAATATTCCCATGTGAGCATTTCTTACTACTACAAGCACAAAAAGCTGGGGAAAATATTGAATGGGATTCTCAGTACACAAACAATGAGGCTGCTGAGCACTGGCTGGTTTTCTTACATTATCCTACTAGTAACTTTCTTGGAAGCCCCTTTGGCTTTCAGATTTAAGGCGTGCAGCACTGTTCCTCCTGCCTGCAGACAGAAAGGCTGAGCTGAGCTCTGCCTGCCTCTAATTTCATTTTAGCACTTTTACACATTATTTTCTGTAAAAAGGGACAGACATTCAGATAGACCTGTTGTTCAAAAAAATCAAGTCAAACATCTCAAAGCCATCCATAGCCACATGAAATAATTAGAGTGAAACACTCTGTAAAAGCAGAGGTCAATGGCACTGAGCTATGCCATTAGGGCCTTTCATAGATGACTTGGTCAAATACAGAAACATCACTATTTTTCCAGTGCGGCATCACCTCTCTGGGTCATGCTTTCTATGAATTTTTAGTGTCATGAGCCTGACTGCCAAGGTCACAGCATTATGTGCTCTAATACCTCTCACAGTCACCCTATACATTCAGTGTCTGCAAGCTGGCAAACACCACAGTTTGTACTTTGGATTTAATGCTGCAAGCGCAAGTTGTTTAGTTCCAGAGAGAGAAACACCCTCCAAACCTACTGCTACCAATAGTATAGCCAAAGACCACTTGTGTGGTGAGCTGAAAGAAAAAAATGCAGGACATCTAGTTTTTGGCCTCTCATTTTAACCAACTCAGTTTCCTAAAATGACACAGGACAAGTAGCAGCATTTTGCAGGGAGCACACAGAAGGCACTGAGCAGCCATCCTGAGCCAAGGCAGCACACTGAGATGGAAAACTGCACAAAAATTGCTTTCAGATTAACCCTTTCAGTGGGAGGTTGTGGACACTGGAATCACTGTGCTTTAGGCATTTGGATTTGAATAAACTCAAATATCTGGATTTCAGCTACCTGCACATCCTTCCTGAACACCTGTGGCATCCCTGCAGCAGCTGTAGCTTCTTCCAGTGACTTTTGGGGGCCACCCAGCTCACTGGGCACCAGGTTGTTAGTTAAGTTACTTATAGAAAAGAGTAATACATCCAAATGAACAAACAAAAGCTGTGTGTGCAGCCGCTTTTTCTTCCTTATCTGACACACTCCAGTTTCTGAGAGCCTCTCCAATTCCTCAGGTTTCTGCAATGATATCCCCAAGCACAGCTGCTCATTTCTGCTTACATCACCTGTATTTCTAGGTAGGGCCTGTTTTGTAAACCAGATATCTTTGAGCCCATTTCCTTCATTCTGCCAGACTTTATATCCATTCATCTACTGACTGTTCCCACAGTCCCTGATGTATTTTCTTCAAGACTGTTGCATCTTTGTATTTATCAGGAATAACAGGCAATTCTGAATTATTCAAGCCTACCCAACACAGAAACAGACTACCTAAAACATTATCCCAAATTCTTGGTGACATACACAGCTTCTCTCAGCAAATGGTTTTTTTGAAAAAGCCAAATAGCAGTGTGGCACAGACCTCTTCTGACATCACCCAACCTTGAAGTTTCTTTGCATTGTTTATTGCTAGTAGGCAAAAGTCTTCCACAGAGCAAAACATGAATAGGAAAAACTTCCAACAGGCGCATCAGGCTTGAGCTGACAGTGAGCAATTTCCCCCCTGGGGAACACATGGGACAACACAACACAATGAGTACAACAAGTTCATGGTTTGTATCTATAATGCAGCAGCAAGATGTCAAAGCTTTAGGTGTTACAACTCCAGGGACACAAAAGGAAGGCTCCCCATAAACAAAATTTCTGAAATACTTCATTATGTGACTGTGCTGGAAATAGGCACAGGGGCACCTTTCTGGCTGTGTAATAGGATTTATACCTGCAGCAATCCAAGCAGCACTGAGACACAGCTGCTTCTTTCTAATGGGCTCTGCTAAGGCAGCCCTGGAGAGTTTTGTTCAGAGCAAGACGCTGTCACAACTGTTATTATCCTGAACCATAACAGACACCGACCTCCTGGCCTAAGCCTGGAGTCCTGAAGCAGCTTGCTGCAAGTTTGATAAAAGTGTGTGCAGCCACTGAGGGGGTCAGTGAACCAAAGCCTATAATCCTTTATGAAACATCCAGTCCTCTGCAGCTTGCAGAATTGTCAGGAAAAAAACTGGTACAAAGAGCCAAAATGTCACACATTCAAAGTGTGTAGCTGTAGCTTGTTAACAGAGGTTGTTCACAGAGCTTTAAGAAGGTAACAGACATGAATAATTTCCTGGGCAAGGTAAGACATGCAAACATGTGCTGGATTACAAGTATGTTCAAAGAGAGCCTTTTCCTATTTTTAAACAGTGTCCCAACCATATATGAAAAATTCCTGACCAGACCCTTCAAACATAAGTGACACTTGAAAGCTGGCTCATCTGTCTAGACCCCACTCTAAAGGGCCCACTGGAATTTATCTGTTCTCTTTTCTGTGTTACCACCACCACAAAACCATCAGAGAATCCAAATGCACATTGTAGCAGCCAGCACCAACCCCCGTCTCTGTACTCCAGAATGCATAACCTGTGTTTGGATTGTAAAGCTTCAGAGCAAGAACTGAACCTTTCTCTTTTAACTTTCCCAGAGTAATTAGTACAATGAGGTCCAGAAATGCTGATTCTACCAATCACCATATAGCAATTAAATCCTGCCATGGTTTCCTTCAGCCTTTTTGCTACTTATTTACTACAATCAGCTCTAAAGTCCTCATGAGTCTGCCTGAGAGCATTAACAAATCTCAGGAATAGCAAAACAAATCCTAGAAAAGACAAACATCTTTTGAGATCTTGAATGTCAGAGATGCTCCTCTCCACACAGCAGCGATAATGAGTTGAACAAAAACCACCTGAGTGAGCCCCATTAAATGAAAAAAACCTTTTAGGCAGGCACTTGTCAAGGTTTTCAATTTGGACTTTTTTATGCCGTTGTCCACATTCAAAGTTGATGCCAAGTTATGAGAATCCTTGCCCAGATGGATCAGCCCATTACTGTGTGCCCCAATTTCCACAGCTGGAAGGACATGGCTCTGCTTATCACTGGCTTGTCAGACAAAACAATGAAGACATTCTCTTCACATCAGCCAAGTGGCTCAAACCCTGGTAAAGGTGGAGAGGTAAAGGCAGCTCTGTCAAACCCCAGATCCCACATTACCAGCCACACAGTGTTCAGCATCATGCATTCGCTTTTTTTGTGCCAATTATTCAGTTTGTGGTTCACGGTCAGCCCTTTCAGCAGCAGCATCAAGAGCCACTCAAGAGCATTTGGGTCACCACACACTGTGCACAGCACCAGGCACCCACAGCTCCACTCCAGGAATCAGACAGACAACGTGGAGAGGGGTTTTGGGAGCTCTGCCCTAGGTTTTCACTTACTCACTAGTGTCTGCACAGGTTTTATGGGACTTTTGACTTTAAAAGTACAGTAAAAGTAGTTACCATAGCAATTTTCACATCACTTGATGCTTTTGCTGCCTCTGAGAGTCTTTTAATAGAAATTCTTACCAACACACCATGTGAACCTTCTGATTTTTTTTTATATTTTTGGAGGAAAAGAGAGATCTTAAACCTCCTGAGATTTTAGAAACATGGTGAAAAAGTGGTGCCTTTGTTTCAAGGGGAACACTGTCTACTGCACAGTAGAAACTCAGTGCATTTCAGAGGAGACAGAAGAAAGTGGATCATTCCAGAAGTATTCATCATCCACAAAGAAGATGGAAAAATGTCTGCCAAAAAGAACCTCTTGCTCTGTCAAAGATACAGCACACTTCAAGAGAAGTTTTGTTTCCATGGTGACTGAATTTGGAGTAAGAACATCCCCTGCATCAGACATTGCTAAATCAAAAACCCAAGTTGCTTTTGTTCATGCAGAGAGCTGGGTTTTTAACCCTGCCTCGCCCAAACAAACAATTAATTAGTGTTTTGCTCTCTCATTTTGCTGTGTACAGCTTCTTTTAGTAAATGAAGCAGAAAAAAGCAAGAAGGTAGAGCTAAATAGGAGAAACCTGATCTTGCAATCTTAATAATTGGAAATAACTCTAGCTTTCAACAGCACACCAGCATTTTTTAAAAAATGCTCATTAAAAATATCAGCAACAAGTTTTCCACTAAGGCAGTTACAGTCATGCACAGGTACTGATGTACAAGCTCTTTGTTTTCCCTTCCTGTGGGATATAACAGCTAATCCTCCCTCACAGAACCAATCTCACACTTCCTGAGGAATGGGAAGAGCAGGATCTGCTCCAAGAAGGTGTCTCTGGTCATCTAATGTGCACTGATCCATTTTTGCCACTGAAACTGAAGGTCCAGTATTAGCACTTGGGTTTTGCTTTATTGGGAGAAAGATCTGACACAGCCCCTAAAGCTGGGTCACCTCCTGAGAGCTGTAAATGATCTGTGTCACATGCAGGTTAGGGGAGCTCTATGGGAGTCAAAAATAAAAGTCCAGAACGGCTCAATAATAAATAAACTGTGCTTGAGATGCAGAAGAAACCAGAGTTAACTCAAAAGGGTACTTTACAGTTCCTCTTGCTTTTCTGCCAACATTTGCCAAGTTGCACAATTCTCAGCATAGAAAATTTTCTTTTTTCTGCCCAACAAAATGCTCCAGTATTTCCTTCTATATTAAAGAAACAATGCCAGCAGCAAGCAAGAAACCCAGTAAAACAATGGACACTGGGTGTTTCCATGTAAATATATCTGAAGGATCAGAGTCATCATTATTGAAGTTACCCATCTCTTTCCATTATAAGACCCTTTGTTATTTATGCCATTGCCAAGCTCTAGGGTGAAAGCTACAAGCTGGGCATATGCCTCAAGCAATCTCTTTTTTTTTTAATTTTCAGCTAAAACAATACAGCTGTTTCTGGATTAAGATGAAGAAGGCAGTGTGCTGCTTTGCCCACAATAAAAAGCTTTCAACCTTCTCCTCATTTGGCTCTGCCCACCCTGCAATTGGGAACACAACTCAAAGCTTTGGCAGCTACTGGCACAACAACACCACTTCTAGCTATCTCCACAGAAATCAGCCAAAGTTTAGTCACTTTACTAGCTTTGGAAAACAAAACCCCAGCTGGTTGTGCCTACAAAAATAAGTTTTTGGGATCATTTACCAGAAGAGTTGCACTTTACATTTTAAGGCCAAAGTGCAATGTTTTGTTGACTGCTGTCCCCAGTCCTGTGTTATTCACAACCAAGCAGGAAAGAGCCCGACACAGAATAAAATAGCTCTCTCACATGGCTGTGACTGCTTCTCAATAGCACATTGCCCATCAGTAATTCTCACTAGACTGATTGTAAAACAAACAAAAAGAGAAAGGAACAGAAATCATCAAGCCTGATCAATTTGAAAATTCAAAAGGTTCTTCATCAGTTTCTGAAGGTGGAATTTCTCCCACCCAGTTTCAGCAGAACCTGTCATATAAGAAACAGTCAAGACCTTATTTTCATTCAGAGCAGCAAAATGAGTATTTTGTCTACAAAAAATGCAATTTTAAGTCCTCTCAAAAAATAATTTTCATCTACTTTTACCAAGTTAAATGAAATGTCTTCATTCAAATGCTGCCCACAATAAACAAGTCCATTAATTAAGTCAAATCTTGTGGTATAAACAGTTAAATTCTTCAGAACACAGGATGGTGAGTGGGACTCCTCTGAGCTCACTTAACCACAGGTGTGCACCAAGGAGGAGCCAAGGGGTCTCTGCAGATCCCTGCCTCTCTCAGCTGGCTACTGAGCACAGGTAACACCACAGACCTCATTCCCAGGCAGCAGCAGCTAGATAAAATGAGTCCTCTCCAAAGATTAATTTATGAAAACCACTGGATATCATCCACTTCTTCTCCCACAATAAGGAGCTGCAGGATGAAAGCTTGGCTCTCCTCAGTTCTGCCTGTGTTCATGGCCTCATGTCAAGGATTCCAGCTGCCAGCATCAGCTTGACTTGTGTTGCTTTCATCACACTTTAAAGAGTTTTCTTTAGAAGTGCAACATGAAACACTTGAATTCATGAGATTCAGTAAGTTTATTAGCACTGAGAAGCATTTCTGGATCCTATAGCTGGTCCCAGTGTCAGGGCCTGGGAGGAGGAAACATTTCCTCCATGTCACAAAGTGCAGAAGGGCTCCAGGGCAGGGGTATGGCCCCTTTTACAAGGCTCAGCCACAACTGTCATCTTTAAAAAGATAAAAGAAAAAGAAGCAAATAAAATCTCTTTCTCTCTATACATGCCACTAATGTGCAAGCATGTGCCACAACTCCACTGCAAGGGAGCAAATCCAATCCATCCCATTGGTATGGGTAGACACACAGTGAATTTTGCCTGTAATTTCCACCATAGGGATTCAAGCTATTCTGTCTCTCAGCCTCTTCTTCTGCTCCTGCTCCTTGGGCTGCTTATGTGTCCACTTTAAAATGAGAGCTGAATCATTTGTTTTATATTCCCAGATAGGGTAAATCCAGCATCAATATGCTGATGTATTTTAAGGCAGGCATTATATCTCAAGTTGCTGATTAGATAAAAAAATTTCCTTTTGTCACAATCTGCTGCACACAGCCAGACTAGAAGCTTAAGGTTGTTGTCATCGTATTGCAAAGCTCCCATACCTTCTTGGTGATTTATCACAGGCACAGCACTGACTCCTTCTTCTTGACAGCACAGCCAACAAACTCCAACTCTCTCCACAGCCAGCTAACTCCAACTCTTTTGTAGCACTCATCTTCTCATTGGACACAGCTGTGGCCCATTAAGGGCAGGCCTGTTCCTAATCTTTGGTGATTTGTACAGCTGCAACTCCTCAGGTGTGAGACTACCTTCTGCACTATCTTTATTTTCTTACATTCCATCCCCCCCACATAGGGTTATCCATTTCATCCCTAATTTATGTTTAGTGTCATTAACTCCATAAGAAGAAAACTCAAATATTCAGCACAGCATCATTCTAGGTTTTCTTTCCAACTTTTCAGAAGCTCCACATACCTGGACAAGAGATGAATGCATCAAGCACTAGACCTTAATAAAGATTTGCAATTACTATGTTTTCCTCTTCAATCTTAAAACTGACACTTAAGATTTAAAAAAAAAAAGTTATTAAAAGGTTCAAATAGAAGAAAATATTTGAGATCCATTGTACATAAGCCAAGAATTTAAAAAATGAGACTGGGAGGAGAGGGGCATTGTAATTTCAAATCAACTAAACCCAGCAGTCAATAGATTATAAATTGCTAAATAAGATGCCTGTTCCTACAAGCTCTCTCCATGATTTCCTCATTAGCACTCAGGAAAAAATGAGAGTTTATGAACACACTCAGCAGAGCCGGTTCCTCAGCAGCGCTGACAACTGGCCCTTGTGCAGGACTGGGGCAGGACGAGCAGCTGGGAGGGAGCCTGGTGTCACCCAGAGCCCCCAGGCTGGGCAGTGCCACAGCTCCAGCAGCGCCTCAGCCTGGCAGCCTTGGCACAGCCATTCTGCACGAGCCATTCCTTGTCCTGCACATCCAAGAGGCTTTCCAGCCTCTCTGGTGCTCTCCTTCCAGTTATTCTGATCCCCAGAGCAACTGTGATTTTCTGCCAATTTTGCATACACTGCTGTTTCCAAAAATTCCACTTCAGGGTTTACACGTGTTTCACAATGATCACTCCTAACAACCATTGAGAGAGACAATATTATCATGTTTTAATTTCCTACAAACTGCTGGCTAAGGCTGCATAGAAAGTTGTGAGTGCCAGATGGTCCATTTATATTATTTATTCTTTCAGCATGTTTATGGAGTCAGAGGCACTTTACACATTTTGCCATTTAAAATCATAAGCACTTTGCCACCACCCCTAAACCCCTGCCAGTGGCCTTGGCTGTCACCTGTGCTGTGTCACCAGCACCATTCAGCACCTCAGGGGTGCCAGCACCATGGCTGAGGTGCAGTGGAGAGAACAGCAAATCCCAAACTGAAACACCTCCCAGCCAAACTGACTGCCTGGCAAAGTAACACCAGTGGGCAGCCATAGAATTTACTGGGAAATGCTCTCATTGGCCATGCCCAGTGAAAGCCAAGTACACAAAGCACAGCACAGTCAGCAGCATTTACTTTGTCACAGCTCAGATAATGACTTCAAACACTTTACAGAGACAAGCAGAATCACTGGGAGCTACTATTTTTATTTCTCCCACTGGCTCTAGCTTGGCTGACTCAAGAAGATGGGTCACTCTATTTATCAATCTTTGATAAATAGTGTAAGGACCATCAGCTGGAAGTGATCCCCTTGATAACAGACAGGAAATACTGATACATTCCTATCTTACTTTGAACTCTGCTGAAAAAGAAAGAGTTTTTGTCAAGAGCCAAATAAAAAAGAAAAACAGAAAGTTATGAAAAGGACATTTGAATTTACATCTCCAGTCAGCAGGTGTGGAGGTGAATACAGAGTGTTTTTCTGAGCTACAATGAGCTGCAGCAGTTTGCTGAGGCAGGATCTGCGTCCCCATCCAGGAATAAGGGGAAATGTTTACCAGCCTTTTCATTTCAGTACCTTTTATTTTCTGTCTGAGAATTCCCATGGCAGATCCCACAACACAGAAGAAAAGCTGCTTTGCAGCCAGTTGCAGCTCTAGCCAACATGAGAGTGGGATCCTTTACCATCTGCCACCTGGAAGCAGTTCAACACGCCTCATTTCTGCAAGAGAAGTTATGGACGCAATTGTTGTGTTACTCACAGTTATATTTAACAACAAAAACTCTAAAATATCATTTTCACCCCGTCCCAGGCTTGCTGGAGCCTGCTGCCATAGCTGTCTCTCTTCCCAAGCACAGCTTGTTCGGGAGCTGTCCCCACCCTCTCGGTGCCCAGACCTTCTGCATGTTACCAGCTCCAAACCCAAACACTTTGTCTGCCTGCTGATTTGGGGCCACCTAGAACACAGTCCTAGTCAGATGACTGTGAGAAACATTACAGTATTATAAAAAATTTCAGTTATTTTAGTTGGGATTTTAATTTGACTTTTTCTTCTTCCATTTGTTTTGGCACTTGTGGAGCTATTAGACTTCAGAATAGTTTAATGCCATGGAAAAAGAAAGGGGCTATGTCACTGAGGCCATCAGCCATGGAGAGCATCTGGTTTTATTATTCATTCTGTCATTTCTGTTGTATTTTGTCACCTTTTTTTTCTTAAGTCACTTTACTGTGCTGTTTATTTACCCAATAGTCAACCAAGAGAATTCTTTGCTGCCACAGGAAAAAACAATGTCACAACACAGACCAATCACTCAGGAAAATGAACAGCTTCACCTGATTTAGATGGAAAACAGTGACTAGAAACAGCCTTAACCTGTGAAATATCCCAGATCAGGTAGCATAATTATCCGTCTGTGCTCCTTAGAGGCCAGTAATGTGTTCAGTACCTCACCTAGTAAGAAATCCTGGCTCTCTGAAAAAAGCACTAATGAAATAAAACTCCGTTCTGAAAAAACAGTATCTGCACAGGAGAGTTGAAAGAGTTTTGTGTTGGGGTTTTTTCTGAAGAATTTAATTTATTTGAACAAAACACCTCATTTAGGCTTTAATTGCAGTTTGACCAGCTATACTGCTGCTTCCCAGGGAACTACAAATCTGCAGCACAGAGCCAACCACACTGCCTGGATGAACTTTCTCCCTCCACACTCCTCCAGCTGTTTTATTCTTTTGGAAGTGCTCTAAGTCAGCTGTCTGACCATCCTTCTCCAGTTAAGCCATACTGGATGCAGCTTTGCATTCCAATTGTAAATCTACTGCCTGGGGAAGCTGCTAATCCTGAGCCCTGCAGCTGCATCATAATCTGAATTAACACCTCTGGATGTGCTGAAGATGTAGAAATATTATTCCTCATTTGATAGATGACTGAAAGGAGTTTTCCAGGCAGGCTAATTCAAATTGCTGTGTAGATGTTATTTCTTGAGACTTTTTATGTAAACATTAAAAAAAACTGGGGAGAGCAGAGGAATAGAACAGAGATCAGTAGCTTCCCAGCTCAGACCATTCTCTCACAGGAGGACTCCTGGGTGGCAGAGAGAAAATAGTTATTTTTTAATGTGAAGACAGCACTTCAATGACCCTTTCTGTAAGCACTGAGCAGGTGTTTGTGGATCACCACAAATGGAGAATGGAATAAGGAGAGCAGTGCTGAGATCTCTCTTCAGGCTGCACAGAGAAGGAGGTTTTGGGTGTTGTTTCTAGACAAGCTACAATTGAGCCTGGGTGTTATTTAGTCAGGAATCCTGAAAAAACCCTTCAGCTGCTGTGTGGGGGTGGCAGAGGAGTGCAGGTATTTGGAGCCAGGAGGGTGACAGCTGAGGCCTCTCCCTCTGCCCCATCTCTGTGCCCTGGGGGAGCCAAGAGAGGCACAAGGTGACTGGAGAATACCATGGCCATGGGCATTGTGCTTTCTGATTCACTGACAGCTCCCAGCAGCTCCCACTGCAGGGTCCCAGGAATCCCCACTCCTCACCTGCCAGAGGATACCCACGGCAGGATCCCTGAGATCCTGGGGCTCCATATTGCCACCACCATGGAAAATTAAATAATACACTCAGAACTGCAGAACAGGAAAACATCATCTGTATCTCTGGTATTACAGTGAGCTTCATTTCATCCTTTCAAAAACCTCCATGGGCATCAGCCTCACAATCCTTCCCACTGCCATTACAGTTCAAGAAATGCAGTTTTGCACATGGGACATTTTCCATGATTCAGGGAGCTGAAGCCACCCTTGACTCCTGGCACAGCCCAGCAAAATCCACAGCTGCCTGGGCTCTGGACAATTGCAGCTCTTGCAAGTGTGACTTTCTGCCTGGGGAGGGAGAAAAACCGTCCAGCACCAGTGACTGCACCTGCCCAACACATCTGTCCCTGGGACAGGGCAGAGAGACCTGGGCTCTGCTCCTAACAAAAGGCTGGTGCTCCTTTCTAAGGCTCTCTCCAACTACAATGGGAAGGCATCAGCTCCCCAGAAATGCCACACTGGGGCACTGCTTGGATACCTGCTCCATCAGAACCAAGTGTGTGAACACATTGTGCCTGCCTGTCTCCACAGCTCAGGGTGATGTTCCAGGAGGAGTGAAGGGTGGAAAGGAGAATTTTCAACAAGTGGCTGGGCTGTGGGAGGGGGAGCAGTGTGGAGGAAGGGGGTATTTCTGTGTGTGCAGCCCATGGGTGCACAGCTGTGGGGGATCCAGAGCTCACAGGGTAACCCTCTCCAGAGGAACCTGGGCTGCTGCAGCTCTGCAGAGCCAACCTGGAGTGGAGTCTATACATTCACACATGGTTCTGTTGTGTTCTACATGCTACACATCAGCATCTGCTCTGTTTTCAGAGAAAAAGATATTTCCCACCAGCAGAAGCCAAATCTGTGGATGACAAAACCAGGCAGAAGGAACAGATCCTGAAGCACCCTGTCCATTTACACACATGCTGGAGCCATGAGCGCTCCTCTTGCTGGCCAGCACTTCTCAGCAGTGAACTGAAATGTTTTCAGCCACATTCTGGACTTCTGTTACCTGCACAAGTTTTTGCTCACCTGCCACATTTTGTCCCAGTTTACCAGTTTGGACAGATCACCTTGAAAAGACCCTCCTGGTGCAGGGCAGTGCTTCTGAGAGCCTCCACCCTCACACACCCAGCCAGGCTGTAAACCCAAACCCTCTTCCTCAGCCAAGGGCTCTGGATCACTGTGTTGGCTTTTTGTTCTTTGGGGTTTTTTTGCTTTTACTCCCTGAACATTTGCAGGACAAAATGATGGGTTTGCCCCCCTGACAACCTTCCTTTAGCACAGCTCTATCAGACATTCCTGCAAGCCTGACTATTCTAGTGTCTGTAAAGAAAACTCGTGGTATAAAACAGCTGCACAAACACCTCTGGGGATGTTTCACAACCACTGTTATATGTAAAATCTTAGGCACAGAAGGAGCTTCAGTTTTCACTATGTCAAACCTCATATTCTGCTCTCATAAACGGTGGAATAATTTATTTTGTCACAGTCTGACGAGGCTCTGGTGCCCTGTTCCCCTGACCCACATACTCCCTTCTGAGCCATTCTGAGGGATGGATCTAAAGATCTCTATTTTTTAATGACTTTATAGCCTGTGATTAAGATAACTTATTCCCTTAACTTAAGGGAAAACGAGAGCAGAAAAATTAACTCAGAAAAAAAGCTGCAAATTGCTAACAGGAAGTGTATTTATTTCTTAAATAATAATAAAAAAAGATGTTATGCCTCATTCCCTCAAGCTGCCTCTCCAGCCTGAAAGCCAGCCTGTATCATTGGATTTTTTACTTCCTAGAAATTCACATTTCCATTTGAATGTTGCGAACAAGTTTTAGCTGCTGCCCCAAGCTCACAGAGCAGACATCTCTGTGAAGCTGCAGAGACGTGGTATTATCTCACTCACCATTCCTGTTTCATTTGTAATACTTATTCCTTTTTCTAGAGATAAGAGTATCAATGATCACTATGTCAGCACTGAGATTTCTGGATACAGTGGAAGTGAGCTACAGCCAGACATGCCGGGCAGCAGAAACTTGAAGAATATATATTTGTAGAGCCCAGAGGAGTTGTTCTTGACAAACAAAATCTACAGGTGCTTAATGAATTAATAGACATGACAGATACTCTGTCACTGCCAGAGCTCACACATGATAAAATAATTGATTTATCTCAGGGAAAAATGCCTTGCTTTCTTCAGGAGCAAATGACAAAACTTAATGATACATCTGATGTTACATTGTTATTTTGATTTTTTTTTAATCAGTAAAGACACTTCCTCTGAATAAGTTTTATTTATAGCTATTCAAACCAAACCAGACAGGAATTCAAATCATGGAGTTTCAGATCTTTGTAGAAATCTCTAATTAATTATGCTACTTTGAACCAGGTTGGTTCAACTTTCCAATTCTTCCATTCCTCAGAATTATACAGCCCTCATCATAAACCCTGAAATCACCCAGCTCCACACACAGGCAGAGCAGGCCTGAACTCAATCATGCATTGCATTGCCTATGGAGGGTGTCACCGTGGTCAAATGACCACCAAAGAAATCCAGAAAAGCTTCAAGCTGTTCCATGGATGCTGCCAAGGTGGCATTTCAGAAATGCAGATGTTTTCTGAAGGCACCATTGATCCCCAGCACACTCTGTGCCATTACCTTTCATGGGAGCACTCATCCCAAAGCAGTTTGTCCTGGCCTAGGAAGGGGGATTTCCCTTTCCAGCTGTGCAGATGTCCCTAAAGCAGCTTTGTAGCCAAATCCCAAGGACCTTGACCCAGTAGCCAGAAGTGCTGGAGACAAGACAGTTGCCTCCAGGTTGCAATCACTGGCTTCTTTTGACTGAATCACTGCATAAAAAGAACTGACTGGGAGCTCAAGGCAGACATCTTTGCACAACAAACAGAATAAACCTTCACAGAGGTTTGGCTTTGCCAGCATTTAAAACACAGCACAGTCATGAGAAGTAGCTCTGTCTCCAGACCTGGCTGCTCTTTCTCTCGGCATTTCAATGGCCATGTGATTTTACAAACCTGAAAGTTATCTTTTCATTTGGGGGTGAATTAATCCCACCAACATGGCAGCACATCAAACATTTAATAAACATAGCACTTACACTCCCACCCTAAGCACTGTGTGCTGTTAGCCTTTAGCAAGACT